CTGTGTCTGAAAGCATGTTTGTATTCTTGTGGAATTGTTAAAAGTATATGGTATAGAGAATTCATGATTTTAAATAACTAAGGTATAAGAACTATTGAAATTAAGCCAAAGAAGGTTTTATCATGTTTTATAAAAATTGATTGTTCATAGGTCTTATGTTGTTATGTTACTGTATATTTGCATTGGATTAGAATATTTGACCTAGAAAGTCCTGTGAGTTAAAATAACTGTGACACATGAAAACAGGTTCAAATGTAATGGTTTAGTTTAAACATGAGTTTCTAGAGTTATAAAATTGGTTGCAAAACTTGCCCTACCAGTGCTCTATCTGATCTCTGAGACTCCTGGTAACTAAAATTTCTAGAACTACTAACAGTTATAAAGTGGGTTAATCTCAGATATCAGCCTGTCCAGTGCTTGAAAGTACATGCTACTATTTTGATAACTTTATCTCATGCAAAGCCTTGTCACCAGGTATCAACCTGGCCCTGTTCTTTACAAAGCTTTGTACACAAGTGTGAAATATTAATGTTTCATAATAATCTATGAGTGCTTTAATCTTTCTATATTTGTGTTTTCCTGGAAATCAGAATTTTAAGATATCTTTTGGTTAATTTCTAATGTAAAGTGATCTTTTGTCCAGTGAATATACCTTGTAAGAGCTTTAATTGTGAGCATTTTAAAGGCCTTTTGAATATTTATGGAAGCACTGCAGAGTACAGTTTTGTCATGTTAAGATAAGGTCGGCACTTCCCAGGTGGTCCCCCGTATTTTGTACCACCCAACTTCCACCCTTTATGATTACTGATCCCCGCGCATGTTGCCTCACCCTGCCGATTCCCAGCGAGCCTGTTTCCGCCATTACCATCGCCACCCTGTTCACCCTTGGCCTTGCGGGCGCCGGTACAGGCATCGTCCCCTGGCTTCTCAGCACTCTGGACTAGCTACACTTCGTGCCACTGTGGATGCTAATTTAGAGAGCCTTGAACAATCCATCTCTCACCCCGAGCATTCGCCGACGTTTCTTTTGAAGGTTGCTCTTCAAAACCGCTGAGGACTGGACTTGCTCTTTATGAAAGAGGGGGGATTATGTGCTGCCTTGGGGGACGAGTGTTGCCGTTATGTGAACCACAGTGGAGTGATTAAAAACTCCATGCGAGAACTAAGGGAAGGTTTGGAGCAGAGACACAGGAAGCGTGAGTCCTCCATTGCAGGATGGGGGTCTCCATTCCCTGTTACCCTACCTATCACCCCTATTAGGACCGCTTACTGCTCTTTTATTATTTGCCACTATTGGCCCATGCATTTTTACTAGACTTACTGCTTTTGTTAGACAACAGATAGCTTCTCTATCTGCCAAACCCATACAAGTGCATTACCACCGTCTGGCAATGGAAGATGCTTCCCTGGATTATGCGGCCACAAAATCTGCTGCTGCAGAGGATGGTTCACGGGTCGTGGTTGGTTGGACCCAACCTTGAGTTGTTTATGGCCAGCTCTCCCGCCCCTCTCTGATCTGACACTCTGGGTACGAAAGAGTCGGACTTTCCCCTATTCCATTTTTGTTCAGCCGCTAGGTGTCTGGCAAAGCACTGCAAGGGAGCAAGGGAGGCCTCATGGCTGCTTCCGACTCCCTGTGGAGTACACTGGACCTGCATGGAGGTTTCCTCTGCCTAGCCTGGCCTTTTTCCGCAGCTCCTCTCTGCTAGTAGAGTGAGCAGGGGAAATAGGTTTTATTTACTTTCCTCCCCTCCGCAAAAGACAGGTCTTCTTGATATCCTGGAGGGGTCCAGTCAATGCTCCCCCTAGCTGGCATCTTCTATAATAAAGGAAGGGGGAGATGTGGGAAGCTGGCCCTTTAACTGACCAAGGGCCTACGTCCTGTGCTATGTATGGTTATCTTGGCCTATGTGACCCTGAACAAGCGGGTCCTGACTAGCGCAAATCTGGTACTGCGTCTGCTCTAACCGCAGCCTATGAGCTATGTATGGTTGTCTAAAAGAAAACATTTGTCACAGCTAGCCCAAGAATAAGAAGTAACTGACATTGACTAATCAAGCACATGGAACATGTAGGTTTTGTAACTCTCCTAACAATATATGATATGACCTAGTGATGTAATTGCCTTCTGTGATGTAAGCACAGTTTCCTGCGTTGCAAAGTATATAATACCCCTGCTTCCCTGAATAAAGTCCTGTCCTGTCCTGTCTCTTTATCTCTGTTTCTAAACTGTACTCTGTCTCTTGTGTCTTGTGTCTTCATTCGGTTGGTCCCTCCTTGCACCTACGGATCCTAGGGCCACCTCCACGGGCCGGAGAGTGGTCTGGCGGGGCCCCCCGCACTAAGGTACATGTAGACAATCTGAAATTTTGTTCCCTTTCTCTATATCATGTGATTTTCAAGGATCGTTTAAAATATAAGCCTAAATTGCATTTATGACTATTTGAGTTGTGTATTGAAAAGAAAATAAAAACTGAGGTTAGAGGCATTTAAAAAATTAAATAAATAAATACAAAATGCAGTCCACTCAAAGTGAAGAAGTGGACAGAGATGGAAGGGAAATGTGTGTGTATCAATTACTGCCTCATGTCATCGGCAACAGGGATGGAAAAAATGTTCTGTAAATGCTACCTTTACAGATTTAGGTGTGTTAACTGGTGAACAAAAAAGTATTGTTTTATTTATTTTTATTTTTTAATTTATTTTTTTCATTTTTTATTATTTTATTTATTAAATCACCATGAGAGCAGTTACAAAGGTTTTGGGTCTAAGTCTCGGTCATACACTGAAACACCCGTGCCTTCACCAGTGCTCATTCTCCACCACCAAAACCCCCAGTATACCCCCATCCTACACCCTCCCCCTACCTGTGGGGCAGATGATTTCCACATTACTCTCACTCTACTCTCTATCACATTCAATATTTTGACACCAGACCCATCATTGTTATTTGGGATTTTACCCCAACACTCAGATCTGCTGAAAAGGCAACAGTAGACAATTTGTGTTCTATTGCTGGTTATGAATAACATATGATGTCGTGTGGCTGCAGTAGGGCCATGTGATTTTGAAATTCCGAAATTTTAACCCTTAAATCTGGAGGGATTTCTGACAAAAGCCACTGGGTTTCTAGATTTGCTCCTGAGTCTCTGGGATCATGGCCATTGAGCAGCTTGATCAGGAGCCAGAGAGGCTGTTTGTTGGCGATGGCTTGGGGTCTCATTGGGGTGGGGAGACCAGGACCAGCTCCAACCCCATTCTGTGAGGCCCAACAAATTTTATCACTGTAGGCCCAGACCTGACTGTCCAATGGCCTCTGGAGGATGATGGCCACCGAGCCACAAAGGGGGAGCAGCAGAGGGACAACACCCTTTCCCCCCTGGGATGGCTGGCGACAGTAACCTACTGCAGGGTCCAGACGCATTTCTGCCAAAGGCCGCTGGGTTTTGAGATTTGCTCCTGAGTCTCTGGGATCATGGCCATTGAGCAGCTTGATCAGGAGCCAGAGAGGCTGTTCGTTGGCGATGACTTGGGGTCTCATTGGGGTGGGGAGGACAGGCCCGGCTCCCCCCCATCCTGTGAGGCCCAACGAGTTTCGTCACTGCGGGTCCAAGCCTGACTGTCCAATGGCCTCTGGAGGATGATGGCCACCGAGCCACCAAGGGGAGCAGGGGGAGGGACAACACCCTTTCCTCCCTGGGGTGGCCCGACGACAGTAATGTACTGTGGGGTTCGGATGCATTTCTGCCAAAAGCCACTGGGGTTCGAGATTTGTTTCTTAGTCTCTGGGATCATGGCCGTTAAGCAGCTTGATAAGGAGCCAGAGAGGCCATTCATGGGCGATGACTTGGGGTCTTGTTGGGGTGGGGAGGACAGGACCGTCTCCACCCCCATCCCATGAGCCCCTTCATGTCTTGTCACTGGGGGCCCAAACCTGATTGTCCAGTGGCCTCTGAAGGATGGCGGCCACTGGGCCGCCGGGGGTAACAGGTCAAGGCATGAAACCTATTCTCACCTGGGTTGGCCCAGCATCGGTAACCTACTGCAGGGACCGGACGCATTTCTGCCAAAAGCCACTGGGTTTCGAGATTTGTTTCTGAGTCTCTGGGATCATGGTCATTAAGCAGTTCAATCAGAACCAGATAGGCCATGCCTCCAATTATATAGCTGAACCAAAGGTGGTTTGTGGTTGTGTCTCCCACATACCTAACTTTTGGCCATTTACTTTCTTGGTAAATTTTGCTCCAAGTTATTGGGGTCTGTCCAAAGGCACAGCAGCAATTTTGGGGTATCTGGAAGTCTGAAGGCGCCATCAGGCTGCTGATGCACTCGCCTCACAGGTACAGATTGACTTGCTAGCAGCACCATACCCCCTTAATTTATTTATTTTTAAATTTTTTATTAGTGAAACACCATGAGGTACAGTTGTAGACTTACAAATTGTTGTGCTTGGGTTTCAGTTATACAGTGATTGAGTACCCATCCCTCCACAAGTGCCCATTCACCACCACCACTAATCCCAGTATCCCTCCCACCCCCCAAGAGTGTTAACGTTTTAACCTGTACTGGCCCTGATGACGTCATGGCTAATTTACAACCATATATGCAGGCGTCGCTAGCACTGGTGGGGGAGGATTTAGTATAACAATGAAAAACCCTCTATGATAGGGGCCACTGCTTGTAAAAAATCTTCACCCCAGGGGGCTGGAGCGATAGCACAGTGGGTAGGGCTTTTGCCTTGCACGGGGTCCACCCAGGTTCAATTCCCAGCATCCCATAGGGTCCTCTGACCACTGTCAGGAGTATCTTGAGTGCATGAGTCAGGGGTAACCCCTGAACATTGCTGGGTGTGACCCAAAAGGAAAAAAACACTTCACCCTGAGCCACCCTTCTCATTCCATGGAAAAAAGTAGACCCTGTCTGGGCCTCAAAAGAGGAAAAACTGGTTGCCTTGCCTGAATTGTTTAAAAAACAACTAACACATGAAAAGTTAATGAGTGGTGCTCGCTTTGGCAGCACATATACTAAAACTGGAATGGTACAGAGAAGATTAGCATGGCCCCTGGGCAAGGATGTCATGCAAATTGGTGAAGCATTCCACAATTAAAAAAAAGTTGATGAGTGTATGGAGCTAATGGGCCCCTTACAATCGGGCCTCCCGAATTTCTTTCTAATTCCTCATTTGGCTCTAATTACTCAGCAGTGGAGGATAATTGTTACTGATCTTAAGGATTGTTTTTACACCATCCCTTACAACCTGATGATATGCCAAAATTTGCTTTTACTGTTCCCTCTTTAAATAATGAAGTACTAGTAAAAGATCACTTGATCACTTGACTTCCCGTAAATCGTTGATTTGCTTGAGTGGGCTCCAGTAACATCTCCATTTGTCCCTGTCACGTGCTAGTGTAGCCCAATGGCGTCTGTTCTCTCTAGGAACACGAAGAGCCTCAAGCCGATCGTTCATGATCTTGATGAAGAAGTCTGACAATCTGGTAGGTGGGTGGCCACACGGTCTTTTGGCATCCTGTGGAATCCAGTCGATAATGGCTCTAGTCCAGCGGTCGTCTTTAAATCTCATTACGTGACCAGCCCATCTGATTTTTGACACCTTGGCAAATGAGACAGCGTCCCTGATTATTGATCATCGAAGGAGGTCGGAACTCCGGATTCTTTCTCTCATTTGAGTGAAACGTGATATTCCAAGCATAGCTCTTTCAATTCCTCTTTGGGAGACCCAAATAGCGTTCTCATCCTGTTCGCATAGGGCCCAGGTCTCTGAGGCATATGTTAATGCAGGAAGAACAGTGGAATCAAAGAGATGTGCCCGGAGCCGGAGGTTCTTCATCCTCTTACCTATTTCTTCGATGCTCTTGAAGGCATTCCAAGCCGCTCTCTTCCTCCTGTGCAGCTCAGGTGCCAGGTCATTTATCATGTTGACTTCTCGACCTAGGTACATATAGCTGTTGCACTTGGATATGGTTGTTCTGTTGAGAATGAATGGGGCGTCAGGAACGAGACTGTTTCTCATAAACATTGTCTTCATAAGATTCAGCTGTAGTCTGACCTTTCCTCATTCACGGTCAAAGTCGGCCAGCATTTGTGCCGCTTGGCTAATATTTGGTGTTATTAAAACAATGTCATCAGCAAAGCGGAGGTGGTGTAGTTGTCGACCATCTATCTTCATTCCCATTCCTTCCCATTCCAGTCGTCGCATGATGTTCTCGAGGGTGGCACTGAAGAGTTTCGGTAAAATGGTATCACCCTGCCGAACCCCTCTCTTGACATCAATGATTACTTCTTTGTAGAATGGTGAGATCCTGGTAGTGAATCCGCAATACAGCTCACGGAGGATCTTGATGTATTGAGCTTGAATGCCCTGTTTGGCTAGGGCTTCAATGACTGCTTCCGTCTCAACAGAATCAAAGCCTTCTTTAAATCAATGAACATTAGTCAGAGCGGCATCTTGAACTCCCGAGAAACCTCAATGATCTTGGTTATCGTGTGGATATGGTCGATGGTGCTGAATCCTTTGCGGAACCCGGCTTGCTCGCATGGTTGTCCTTCATCTAGTGTTCTGCCAATCCTATTTATGATGACTCGAATGAACAACTTGTAGATGACAGACAATATGCAGATCGTGCGATAGTTGCCAATGTCATGGATGTCTCCCTTCTTGAACAGTAGTACAGGCTTGCTGGTTTTCCATTGGGACGGAACATTGTATTCAGAAAGGTAACGTGTGAAGAGCTGAGCCAGCGTATTGATGAGTACTGACGGCAGGTTCTTCAGGTGTTCAGGTCTGACCTTGTCTGGGCCGGGTGCTGTTCGTTTCTTTACTGACGAAATGGCGTGTCAGATTTCAGAAGGGAGAACATTGGGAACTACATATCCATCCTGTGGAATTTGGTATGTCAGCAAGTGGACATGGCTATTGAAGAGATTTGAGTAAAAGTTACGGATAATCTCCATTGCCGTTCTGGAAGATGTGATAGATCCATCAGCACGTCGGAGGGCAATCATCTTGGTCTTGTAGTTGGCGAAGGACAGGCGGGCGTTACGAATACTTTTCCCAGCTTCTGCCACATCTACCAGCACTTCTGCTCTTCTCTCTTTGAGGTCTTCCTTGATCGCATCTCTGCACTGCTTTGCGAGTGCGAACGTTCGCTTTCCGTTGCCTGAGGCATGCGCCAAACCACATTGGCGAATAACCTCAAGAGTTTTCAAAGAGAGGCTTTTTTTTGTGGCTATCTCTCTCTTGGCATTCCTTGCACAATCATGGAGGTGCTGAACCAGTCGATCGTATTCCTCATCAATGTTGTCAACAATGGCATCTTGCCATGTTGCTGCAATAGTGCCAAAGAGCTCCTAGTTGGTGGTCATTTTGGGAGTTCTCGTTTTAAACTTTGCAGCCTTTTCTCCCCACTCTGTGAAGTAGAATTTTTCGCGAAGGTGACGGTGGTCCGATACCGTTTGGAAATTTGGAACAACAGTGACATCAGTCAGGCAAAACCATCCATTGAATATGATGTGGTCTATTTCGTTGTGGAATCGTCCACCAGGAGACTCCCATGTCCAACGTTTAGATTCTGCCTTCTGGAACTGTGAGTTACCATGGATGGTCTTGGTCGACATGATGAACTCAGACAGTCTGCACCCTGTTCGTTCCATTCTAGGCTATGGGTCCCAATGTGAAGTTCCTCAGCTGATCTTCTCAGTCCTATCTTGGCATTAAAATCACCCACAATGGGGCGACTAAAACCTCATGGGAAGGGGGGCGTTCTGGTCCGTCCTACCAACGTCACCAGTTGTTCCCTGTGAGCGGCTCTCCAGCACAGCCACGGCCCCAGAAGCACAAGGACTTAATGCAGAACCCAGCAGCTTGGAGCAGAAAAGTGAAAGGACTATGCGTTAATCCAGGCCATCATGTCTGCCCGGAGGGGAAAAGGTGTTGCTCCCTTCCGCCCTCCTCCTTCTGGAAAGAAAGATGGCGGCCACATGGGAGCCTTGTGGACAGAAGGTATGAGCCGGGGGTGTGGGGGCGACTAAATCCTCATGGGAAGGGGGGCGTTCCGGTCCGTCCTTCACGCCCTACCAAGGTCACCAGTTGCCCCCTGCGAGTGGCTCTCCAGCACAGCCAAGGCCCCAGAAGCACAAGGACTTAATGCAGAACCCGGCAGCTTGGAGCAGAAAAGTGAATGGACTATGCGTTAATCCAGGCCATCAAGTCTGCCGGAGGGGAAAGGGTGTTGCCCCATTCGCCCTCTCCTCTCTGGAAAGAAAGATGGTGGCCGCATGGGAGCCTTGTGGACAGGAGGTATGAACCGGGGATGTGGGGGCAACTAAAACCTCATGGGAAGGGGGGCGTTTCGGTCCGCCCTTCACGCCCTACTGAGGCCACCAGTTGCCCCCCACGAGCGGCTCTCCAGCACGGCCACGACTCCAGAACACAGAAACCAATTTCTTAACTATCTGACTTTCAGTAGAAATACTTCCAGGAATCCAAAACCAACATTTCATTCTTGAAACCAGCTGTAGAAAGCAAATCACTTCACAATGCTTTTTCAGCATGTCTGATTGGGGGGGGGGGGTAAACTCTGAATAATAGTGGTGAATCTTTTATTGAAACAATGAATCTAATCAAAGCAGATAGAGTGCTAACTAGAATTCATCTGCCTCACAGGGACTGGGAGGGGTGGGGGGTGGGATTTTATTGGGGTTCTTCATGGTAAAAAATAAGTATTGGTAAAGGGAAATGTGTTTGATATTTGCATGACTGAGACCTAAACCTGAAAGCTATGTAACCTTCCCCACAGTGATTCAATAAATAAATAAAAAAAAATCACCCACAATGATCTTGTAGAAGGTGTGGTCTTTTTTATAGAACTTCTCCAGCTCCATGTAGAACTTCTCAATTTCTCCTTCATCATAATTAGATGTTGGTGCGTAGACAACGATGATAGAAACTGCCGGCAGTGTGCTGCATCTATTCAAATGGAAACGTCCGATTTGGGTTGTTAGGCATTCGAATGAATCAATGCTCATGGCCAAGTTTGTGTAGCATAATCACACACAAAGTTCCTGATGAAGTAAATCAGACCACCTTGTACCTTTTTACACCCCACTTCCCACATATTCACATCAACATCTACACAAGCCTACACTGTAACCCAATAAGGTATCTATTGAACTTTCAACCTATCAAAGTAAACTTAATCTACCGAAAGTGACTACAATGGGACATGCTAACCCCAACCCATTTTACTCAGGGTTCCTAGCTGTTTGCAGCTATGACACGGCCTTATTTGCAAGGCAGCACATTCAGGAAATTCCTCATGGCTCTGGTCAGGCTCCCGCAAGTGTTGATATCTTTTTCCATGAAGATACTCAGGGCAGGTAGGGGCGGAGGCTTGTGCAAGATCAGATATGGAGATTGGTTGTACATCCACGGGCACGGTCACGAGTCCAACCCCCGCGGGTCGTGGTGGTCAGGACGCAATAAATACAAGACTGAACAAGGCCTCAGAAAACTGTCACAAAACATTTGATCTAAGGTGGTTTAATTGCGGGGCTGATGCGGTAATCCACTGGGTAGGGTTCTTGCTTTGTAGTGGCTCCGCGTATGGACCCCCAAGCCCCACCGGGAGTCATCCCTGAGAGAGCCGGAAGTAAGCCCTGGCCACCCGCGCTGGTAGCCCTCAAAACCAAACAAACAAAAAGAGCAGTGAATTGCAAGTCAGTTGTGTTGTTTAATACTTAAACCGTGCTCACCAAAGAGCACAGGGTACACCTTGGCCTACCAGGAGCTGAGGAAAGGGTGCCCATCACCACCCACACAGGAGGCCAAGGTCTGACCAGGAGTGCCCTGGGCACTGCTCAGCAAGCACTCCCTTCCCCAGGAAGCTTGGAGCCTGTGTGCTGAGGGTCGGGGCTGCCCCCTCACCCTCCTCCTAACAGGCCTCTACAGCTCTGCGTCAGTAACATTATGAACTCAGCCCTCCCTGACCCCGGAGTCCTTCGGCTCCTGCACGGAGGTCCTATGTCCAAATGGTTCCAGGGACGCCTACTCACTGTTGCTCCTGAGGCCATGGCCGGCTGCTTGGACAG